CAAAACCAGACAAGGACAACACAAAAAAAGAAAATTACAGGCCAATATCACTGATGAACATCGATGCAAAAATCCTCAATAAAATACTAGCAAATCGCATACAACAATACGTTAAAAAGATTATACACCATGATCAAGTGGGATCTCTACTTTCTACTTATAAACAATGTGATACTTACTTTAGAGTAAGGTTTGAAGAAATACAAACATGTAGGTACAGTATGAGTCCCTTATTTGCTGTTACCAATTGCTGCCTTTTTTGGTTTTCCTTACTAGGGCTAAATAGAAAACAGAACTTGAACTTTGGCATTTAAAAGCGTCAGCTTTGGTATTTAAATCCAAAGGTTATAAAGATTTTTCTTTCTGCTGATGTTGAGCTGCCACACTACTTACTAGCTCTGATTTTCCTAGCAAGAGATCCCTTATCTTACCTCTGACCATCCTCAGCCAATCCCTAGATTTCGCTGTGTAGAGAACATTACGTTCTTCTGAGGTAGTCTCTCTCTGCTTCAAGCCCCTGTGACTTGAGTTAGACAATAGTAGGCTCCCCGCTAATCCTTGCACACACCGTCCACTACTACCCCTCCTCCCTGTGTGCTTTTCCCAGCTCCTTAAAAAGACCGATCTAGGGGTCAGGCCCATGGCCTAGTGGTTAAGTTTGGCATGCTCCGCTTTGGCAGCCCGGGTTTGCGGGTTTGGATCCTGGGCATGGACCTACACCACTTGTCAACCATGCTGTGGTGGTGACCCACATAGAAAATAGAGGAAGATTGGCACAGATGTTAGCTCAGGGCTAATCTTCCTCAAGCAAAAAGAAATTTAAAAAGACCAATCTATTCTGCCCTTCTCCCTCAATCTTTTTTTTCCTAGACAGTTAAAAAAAAAAAAAAGGGGGGGGGTTTGCTTATAAAGCGAATATCACACAGGTGTTTCCTTATAGTGAGGGTCAGCCTGCATATTAGTTCACTTGGTGTGGGGATGCTGAGTGCCTTCACTGATGTCGGGTATATTCCTCTTGTTCATGGGCTCCAATACTTCCTATTTCAGGAGATAGTATCATTTGTTTCCAGAAACTTTACATCTCATCTCAGTGAAATATTCTGCCAACCCATATTTAGTTTAGATAATTGGTATTTCACTTTATTATTATCTACCATAATTAGATATCTTTCTAATGGGTGGTATTTTTCATTTTCTGTGGGAACTCTTAAGCAGGCAATTATGTTTTGTTGCAGGTTGGGAGAGGGGCAAGAAACCAAACCCGCAAACCTGTTGATCCCGTGGGTTGGTAACAGATATACCTCTGCCACGCCACCTGCTGCCGTGTGGTTCTAAGTGGTTTTTCTTCTTTATTTTCCCTTTTTAAGATTATAAAAGCAATCTATCAGCACAAAAAGAGTTTTGAAAAAATAACCCACCAGTAATCCCACCATCCTGCATAGTTATTTTTCTCTTTCTTTTAATCTTGGCTCAAATGCATACTTAGTTTTACATTGTTATAATCATAGTCTGATAACATTTTTGTATTTTTTTTAACTTAGTACTATAAGTAATTTTCCATGTTGCTCTGTAGATTTCATGATTAGGGTTTTTAGTGACTGCAAATAGTCTATCAATTATTTAACCATTCCCTGTTCTTGCACATATAGATTCTTCTTGTGTATGTGCATCTCTCTTTTGTGTAGTTTTAATAATGCTGTATACTTTTACATATAGCTTTTAGAAATTTTTGTTCTTAGGGTAAATTTATGGCAGTGGGGGTCCCTGGACCCAAGGTTTTGCCACTTATCTGGTTCTGCGCAGCTGCCATACTGCTTTCTGAAAGAGTCATGTTGTCTGCGTCCAGAAAGGTTTTCAGTATAAACATGGTATAAGAAATGTGTAAGCCAGTAAGGCTCTGGGATGGTTAAGCAGGTGCAGGGTTTATGGGCTGAACAAAGGAGATGGTGGGGTTTTTCTTTCTCTTTCCAGCAGGTTTGAGCCAGCCAGCTTCATGTTTCCTCTAAGTGTGAGTGTTATAGTAATTTCCTAATGGAAGGCCTCTTTCCTAGATGGGTTTCCTCTGTCGCAGTAGTTCTGTAGCTCTGCCTCTCCAGATCATGAAGGAAACAGGTGGATTTTCTTTTCTTTGTGTACTAAGTTAAAATAAAACTTAGGGCTTCCCCAAAACTGTTCCCTAACCAATTTGAAAGCTGTGTGGTGCTTTGGTAGTCACCCTGCCCCCAAGTGTAGTGATCCATTCACCAACCAATGACAGTTTTAGGGTAAAAATTAAAGAATCAAGTAGACACTGCCTAGAGAAAAAAGTACTTGGGGATGATATAATTTTCTAGAGTTTATTTATGAGACAGCATAAATCATGGCAATAGCAAATCATTTGGATTTGATTGAGTTCATGCAGCAAAAAACCAAAGTTATACAAAATTAATGATTACTAAGAGTAGATTAGCAGGGGCTGGCCTGGTAGTGTAGTGGTTAAGTTTACGTGCTCTGCTTTGGCGGCCCAGGGATTGCAAGTTTGAATACCAGGCGTGGACGTGTGTGCTGCTCATCAAGCCATGCTGTGGCGGCATCCCATATACAAAATAGAGGAAGATGGGCACGGATCTTAGCTCAGGGCTAATCTTCCTCACCAAAAAAAAAAGAGTAAATTAGCAGAAGTTATAGCCAAGTCTCATATATGAATCAGAAGTTTTCTAAAGAAGGGAGGTGTTGAGCCATGCAGTTTTTTTTTAAAGGGCTGAGTGATTGGTTTTTTGCTAGTGCATGTGTTAATGGAACAATGATATTCTCTGAGAAATCGAGGGCATATGATATGAGTGTACCCTCTTTTTGGCTGTGCAGCCAGCCAGAAATTTCCAGGTATTGAGGTTTAGGGCCTGCCAGGTAGGCTTGTCACTACATATAAACTTCTCTTTCCACCTCTCCCCCAACATATCCAGTATTTTAGAAACCTGTTGGGGTAAAACTCAGGTGTATGACTTCCCATAGTATGGGTTTGTGCGTGGGTGTTCGGGCTGTGTGTTTGTGTCAGTGTGATGGGTGTGTGATGAAGATGATGCAGGGCAGAGTCTAGTAGGATCCTGGTGATCGCTGATTCAGTTCTCTGTTTCTGTTATAGCCCTTGCCAGCACCCAGCCATGGGGGATATGAAAACTCCAGACTTTGATGACCTTCTGGCTGCCTTTGACATCCCAGACCCCACCAGCCTTGATGCCAAGGAGGCCATCCAGACCCCCAGTGAAGAGAATGAGAGTCCCCTCAAACCGGCAGGCATGTGTATGGATGAGAGTGTGTCCTTGTCTCACTCAGGATCAACTTCAGATGTCCCGGCTGTGAGCGTTATTGTCAAGAACACCAGCCGCCAGGAGTCATTTGAAGCAGAGAAAGACCACATTGCTCCCAGCCTCCTACATAATGGATTTCGGGGCTCAGATCTGCCTCCAGATCCCCACAACTTGGGCCACAACTGTGGGAAGTTTGATTCCACTTTCATGAATGGAGACAGTGCCAGGAGTTTCCCTGGCAAGCTGGAGCCTTCCAAGTCAGAGCCGTTACCAACCTTTAATCAGTTCAGTCCGATCTCCAGTCCAGAACCTGAGGATGCCATCAAAGATAATGGGTTTGGGATGAAGCCCAAGCACTCTGACGGTTATTTCCCACCCCCTCCTGGGTGCGGGCCTGTTGGGGCCCCAGTCCTGGAGGCTCTGTCTAAGTTTCCAGTCCCGGAGCTGCATATGTTTGATCACTTTTGTAAGAAAGAACCCAAGCCAGAACCCCTGCCCTTGGGGAGTCAGCAGGAAGATGAGCAAGGTGGGCAGAAGGCAGTGGAACCTCACAAGGAGCTGGATGCCAGTCGATTCTTTGGGGAAGCTTTGGAGTTCAACAGCCACCCCAGCAACAGTATTGCAGAGCCCAAGGGGCTTGCCCCCGAGCTTAGTACCTGCTCATCAGTCCCTCCTAGGCAGCGTCTTAAGCCAGCTCATTCCAAGCTGTCCTCTTGTGTTGCAGCCTTGGTGGCCCTGCAGGCCAAAAGAGTGGCCAGTGTCACCAAGGAGGATCAGCCTGGCCACACAAAGGATCCCTCAGGGCCCACGAAAGAGGGCTCCAAAGGCAGCCCCAAAATGCCCAAGTCACCAAAGAGTCCACGGAGCCCTCTGGAGGCCACTAGAAAAAGTATCAAGCCATCGGACAGCCCTCGGAGCATCTGCAGTGACAGCAGCAGCAAAGGCTCCCCTTCTGTGGCTGCCAGCTCCCCACCAGCAATTCCCAAAGTCAGAATCAAAACCATTAAGACATCATCTGGGGAAATCAAACGAACCGTCACGAGGATCCTGCCAGACCCTGATGATCCCAGTAAGTCCCCTGTTGGGTCACCTCTAGGAAGCGCCATTGCCGAGGCCCCAAGTGAGGTGCCGGAGCATGAGGTCACTGCCTTGCCTGCAGCGGAGCACTTTCCTGAGGCGGGCACAGATTCAAGGAGCCCCCAGGATGACAGGAAAGGGGATGAGAGCATGACGAAGGCCAGGGAATCTTCATCTCCCTGTTGCAGCCCTAGGTCCCGGGTCCCCAAGGGGGCTGCCCCAGGCTCACAGATGGGCAAGAGGCAACAACAGACCACAGCACTGCAGGCGTCTGCCCTGGCGCCTGCCAACCTCCTGCCCAAAGCTGTGCACCTGGCCAACCTGAACCTGGTCCCCCACAGTGTCGCCGCCTCAGTGACAGCCAAGTCCTCAGCGCAGAGGCGGAGCCAGCCACAGCTTACGCAGATGTCGGTGCCCTTGGTCCACCAGGTGAAAAAGGCCGCCCCGCTGGTTGTGGAGGTCTTCAACAAGGTCCTCCACAGCTCCAACCCTGTGCCCCTCTACGCGCCAAATCTCAGCCCACCTGCGGACAGTAGGATCCACGTGCCGGCAAGTGGATACTGCTGCCTGGAGTGTGGGGATGCGTTTGCCTTAGAGAAGAGCCTGAGCCAGCACTACAGCCGGCGGAGCGTCCACATTGAGGTGCTGTGCACACTGTGCTCACAGACGCTGCTCTTCTTCAACAAGTGCAGTCTGCTCCGGCACGCCCGAGACCACAAGAGCAAGGGGCTTGTCATGCAGTGCTCTCAGCTGCTCGTGAAGCCCATCTCTGCGGACCAAATGTTCGTGTCTGCCCCCGCGAACTCCACGGCACCAGCAACCCCGGCTGCCCCCTCCTCCCCCAAACATGGCCTCGCTTCAGGCAGTGCCAGCCCTCCCCCTCCAGCTTTGCCGCTCTACCCAGACCCCGTGAGGCTCATCCGGCACAGTATCAAGTGTCTCGAATGTCACAAGCAGATGCGTGACTACATGGCTATGGCTGCACATTTCCAGAGGACAGCAGAGGAAACCGAGGGGCTGGTAAGCAGACTCTGTCTGTGATTTGTGTCAGGTCCCTGGTGCACATGGGCTCCATGATTGGGCACAGAGAGAAAAGCTCATTGATGTGGGGGCAGTAGTGGCATCTTACGAGTCTTAGAAGAGGACATCTGGCTTGATGGTTAGTGGCCCACCTGAATATATCGTGCTTGGTGCTTATTGGGGAAAGTGTTCTGCCCACAACTGGGGTAGACTCTGAAGATTTAGCGAGTGTATTTATGGATGCTTACTCCCACCCCAGTGGGCTGTCAGGGCCCATTGTCAGGCGTGGGCTAGGTCTCTACAGGAGGGTCCCCTGGTCTCGGGCAGCTGTCAGCAGTCTTTGCACGTGTCCGGAGAACTGAGGGGCAGGGGTAGGTGTGTCCCCGCCCCACGCCTTGGTCTATACTTCTAAGAAGCATGTCTCCTTAGAAGGTTGTTCTGCCCCATGGTGGACACAGCTGTTTTTGCAGAATCCCGTAGGGGAGACTGCAGTAGGGCCAGTAGCAGGACTGATGTGGAAGGAAAGCGAGTAGACCGACATGTGGACCTTGTGGCAGAGCCTTTTGGGGCCTTTCTTTCAGCTGTGTTCTTAACCACTCCAGGAAAGCAGCTATGCTTATCTGCTTGTCTGAGTCTTGGCTGTGCCTGATGAGGTCTGGTTTTTTTAAGAAAGGCCTTCAGTGCTGAAAATACCCATTCCACCCTCTTTGTCAGCTATTGTCTGTATCAGTAAGGTCTTATGAAGAAGCAGGCCTCCAGACGTGCCTCCAGAAGGCTCTTTTCTTCCTCCTCCAGGTGGTTCCCACGCCTTAGCCAAGGCCACGCCCTCACCGAGCCTCTCTAAACCAGGGCTACAGAGGACTGAGAGGAAAGCAAAACAGCTGTTTTTATTTCCGTTCAGCAGGGCCCTGCACCTCTGTGGGTGGCTGATGAGCTTTGCACAAGTGTTCCAGGTGCCCACTGTGTGCACGGAGACTCTGTCGAATGCAGGGCTGCCAGAGGAGGGAGTTGCACTGTTCTTCCAGGAGCTCACTATGGCTCAGCAAGGGCAGGCCTCACCACCTGAACAGCTAGAGTGTGTGGCAGACTAAAATTGGGGCTGAAAGAAGCTTATAAACATAGTTGCATAGAGTGCCTCAGAGGAACTAATGCATCATGACTCCAGGTGTAGGGAAGGTGCTGTGTGGACATGACATTTAAGTTGGACCTGCAAGGGTGAGTTTGGAGGAGGGAGAGGGGCAAGGGTGTTCCAGGTATAGGGAACAAAGGTTTGTGCAAGTGCAAAGTGCATTTGAGGAACAAGGAGTTGTTGGGAGTGACGTCAGCCTTGGGAGTGTTGGGGTAGAGACACGAGGTGGAATTTGGTGAGAAGCCCCCAAAAAGGGCCAGCAAGATGCCATAGGGCCACTGTTACCTCTCATCTTTACCTTCTCTGTTTTAGTTTGCATTTTCTTTGTGGTGACTCAGGTGGAGTGTGGCCATCCTAGGCCCTTTCGTCAGGGGCTTCGTCTACTCTTGCTGTACCAGGATGGTTGACCTGGGCCAGGATGACTTCCTCTGAGGCATGTGATGAGAACCATTGCCAGTGGAGGTCTGATGCCCAGCCTGGGCCTGTGGTTTTTTCCCACACTGTTCCTCACCTGCTTTCTAAAATCTGAGCAGGCAGAGGTCTGGGTGTAGGATCCCAGGCTGGCACTCTTCTTATCCTGCATCTCTTTGTGTCTTTCTCGTCTGGTGGGAACCGGAGAGAAAGGCCCGCCAGACAGGAAGGGAGGGAGAGGCCAGGAAGGCTGGCAGCCTTCTCTCAGCCTTGTTCGAATCCCTCACAAAATCTCCTGCCAATAAATGTGGCCTCCGAGTCTCAGAGAAAGGGTAAGGCTTGAGCTCTGGGATCAAAACCTAACCTTGATGGCTGTTGGGCTTGGGTTTCCTGAGACAGTACCCAGGCCTCAGGCCATGTCGAGGGCAGTGGGGGGACGGATGGGGTGGGGTTGGGCTCCACTCTAGAGTAGGGATTGCAGGACAGCCTGTTTGGGCATTCCTCCTTCTTCCTGGTAATCTCCCCTGAACCACATCTGCCTCCCTCTGCAGGGGCTGGAGAGGTCCTTCCTCTTGCATTCCAAGCCACCTTGTTGGACAGGATGTCAGCACAGAAAGACTATTTCTTCTTGTTCTTAAGCTTCTATTTAACTATAATGGCATTATCACACCTAAAAAAATTAAAAATAATTCCTTAATATTACCTAATACAAGTTCATATTCAAACTTTCCTTTCATGTCAAAAATTGTCTTTTTACAGTTGGACTTGTTTTGAATCGGGATTCAAACATGGACCACACGTTACATTTATTTGTTATGTCTTTTAAATTTCTCAATCTAGAACAGTACCTCTTTCTGCTCCACCCCTCCAGACCCTCCCTTTTTTTTCATATCATTAATTTGTTGAAGAAACTGGGTCATGTGTCCTGAGAATTTTTAATTCTGGGTTTGATTGCTTCCTGAGAATTTTCCAGGATAATTTTGTGTTCGATTGATTGCTTCCTCATGCAATTAATTTGTTCTTTTATACCCCATATTTTATCTGTAGATTACAAGTTAGCAATAAAGACTTGATTAGATTCAGGTTCTCTTTTGAGGAGGGGGGAGTACTGTGTTCTTCATGTTTCATGACTTCAGGGAGGCACGAAGTGCTTGATTGTCTCAGTTTTAATGATGCTAAATTTGATCAGTGAGTTTAGGTGGTAGTGTTCTAAGATCCCTTCGTTGTACAGTCCCCTGTCTTTTACCTAACGATTTTAGTATCTATTAATAATTGCTGCTTGATTCAGTAATTTTATTAGGAGTTACAAAAGGGTGTTTTTCTAATTTTATTATTTCTTTCTCATTTATTAGCTGAAATTCTGTGTAAAATATCTTTCCCTCTTCCATGAAGGCTATTTGGTTACCCTGAAATATAGTTTATGTTGTAAAATGGGATGAACACTTAATTTGTTTCCCTTAGTGAACAGTTTACACATTTGAACCTCAAGCAGTGTTTTTTTTTTTTTTGTGAGAAAGATCAGCCCTGAGCTAACATCCATGCTAATCCTCCTCTTTTTGCTGAGGAAGACCGGCTCTGAGCTAACATCTATTGCCAATCCTCCTCCTTTTTTTTTCCCCAAAGCCCCTGTAGATAGTTGTATGTCATAGTTGCACATCCTTCTAAGTTGCTGTATGTGGGATGCGGCCTCAGCACGGGTGGAGAAGCGGTGTGTTGGTGCACGCCCGAGATCCGAACCCGGGCCGCCAGTAGTGGAGTGTGCGCACTTAACTACTAAGCCATGGGGCCGGCCTCAAGCAGTGTTTTAAGAGTCCCTTCTCTATTATTTATTTATTTATTTTTTGAGGAGATTGGCCCTGTGCTAACATCTGCCAATCCTCCTCTTTTTTTTGCTGAGGAAGACTGGCCCTGGGCTAACATCCGTGCCCATCTTCCTCTACTTTATATGGGATGCCGCCACAGCACCAAGCAGTGCGTCGGTGCGCGCCTAGGATCCGAACCGGTGAACCCTGGGCCTCCGCAGTGGAGCGTGCACACTTAACTGCTTGTGCCACCAGGCCAGCCCCTCTATTATTTTTTTAAATTGTGGTAAAATACACATAACATAAAGCTTACCATCTTAACCATTTTTTAAGTGAGCAGTTTGGTAGCATTAGGTACATTCACATTGTCGTACAATCAATTTCCAGAACTCTTTTCATCTTGCAAAACTGAAACTCTATACCCGTTAAACAACAGCTCTCCATTCCCCCTCTCCCCAGCTTCTGGCAACCACCATTCTACTTTCTGTCTCTATGAGCTTGACTACTCTAGGTACTCCATGTAAGTGGAATCATACAATAGTTGTCTTTTTGTGACTGGCTTATTTCACCTAGGCTAACGTCCTCAAGGTTCATCCATATTGCAGCATATATCAGAATATCCTTCCTTTTTAAGGCTGAATAATATTCCGTTCTATGTATGTACCACATTTTGTTTATTTATTCATCCACTGATGGACACTTGGGTTGCTTCCACCTTTTGGGTATTGTGAGTAATGCTATGAACTTGGGTGTACAAATATCTTTTCCATTCCCTGCTTTCCATTCTTTTGGGTATATACCCAGAAGTAGAATTGATGGATCAAATGGTGGTTCTATTTTTAATTTTTTGAAGAACTCTCATACTGTTTTCCACAGTGGTGGCACTGTTTTACATTCCCACTAACAGTGCACAAGGGTTTCAATTTCTCCACATCCTTACCAACATTGGTTATTTTCTTTTTTTTTGATAGTAACCATCTTAATGAGTGTGAGGTAACCTCCTCTATTAGTTTTAGTTTTAGTGTTATAATGACCTCATTGTTTTTTGTATATTTAGTATGTTTATGTATTCAGTCATTCTTTTTGATGCTCAAGTTATCACATCTTAGGTAAGTGGGAACCGCTTCAAGCTGGCTCCTGTGTCCTCATTAAGCCTGAGAAACTTCCTTACTTTGAGCCCCAACAAGATGTCCTGGGCACATTTCTTGGCTAAACCTAGAATCAGCCCTTTTTCCAAGGAGCCAGGTTTGTTTTGAGGAACGGTATTTAGAGGCCACATTCTGGGCACCAGAGATGCTCAGTGCAACTGGATATATCTTTGTTTCTAGGATTTTTCAGTGGCCAGAGCTAAGAAATATGAACTTTTTTTTTTTTTTTTTTTTTTTGTGAGGGAGATCAGCCCTGAGCTAACATCCGTGCTAATCCTCCTCTTTTTGCTGAGGAAGACCGGCTCTGAGCTAACGTCTATTGCCAATCCTCCTCCTTTTTTTCTTCCCCAAAGCCCCAGTAGATAGTTGTATGTCATAGTTGCACATCCTTCTAGTTGCTGTATGTGGGACGCGGCCTCAGCATGGTTGGAGAGGCGGTGCGTCAGTGCGCGCCCGGGATCCGAACCCGGGCCGCCAGCAGCAGAGTGCGCACACTTAACCACTAAGCCACCGGGCTGGCCCCCAGAAATATGAACTTTTAAAAAGAGGAAAGAAAGATCATGAATTTATACTGGTATTCAAATGTAAGATTATAGAGTTTTTATGTAAATGACTTTATACTGAAAATCTTCGTTCCTAAAATTTTCCTCCTACACACACACACACACACAAATTTCAAAATATCAAAGCCAATAATATTTCTAACCTTAGGACAACTGCATAAAGTTGAGGGTGTATTTGCAGTTTTTCTTGCCCTTAGAATATATCACATTAAGGATGTATAAGTTAAAATACTGTGTTTTAAAGGTCACTGGTGATAATTCTCTTCTCTATATGGTTATGTCACCAACTTTATATTTAGTTAGGTTATTTGTTTCTGATTTTCAATTTTTAGGGAATTCTTTTATTTATTTAGTTTAATTTTGTATTATTATTTTTTAAATTATGTAAAACATTTATGTGATTACAAAGTTAAAGCTATATAACAAGGTACATTCAGAAAAGTCTTGCTTCCATCCCTGTACCTTTCACCCTGTTCCCTCTTTCCCCATAGGTAATCATTTTTATTTACTTTTGGGTTATCACTCTGTTGCTCCTTTTTTGCAAATATAAGCAGATATGTGTGTGTGTGTATGTGTCCTTTTCTTACACAAAAGTAACGTACTTATTTACTGTTCTGTACCTAGAGTTATACTCTTATACTCTTCTTAAAAAAAAACAAATCCAACTCTTTATTATGGAATGTCCCAAACATATATAAAAGTGGAAAGAATAGTATAATAAACCCTCCTTTAACAATTACCAACTCATGGCTCATCTTGTTTCATGTATTTTCTTACCTCCTTCTCCCTGCAATGAATTATTTTTAAACAAATCCCAGCATCATTGTATCTATAATATTTTAGTATGTATCTCTAAAAGATAAGGTTTTTTCCCCCCAAAAAACATAGACATAGTATCATCACATCTCAAAATTAATAATAATTTCTTACTATCAAATCTTAATACATGTCGAATGTCCCAATATTGCCATCAAGTTAATGTTCAAATAGGTCTGATTATCTCATTTCTTTTTACACATGGCTTGCTTGAATGTTTATGAGAATCCAGATAAGGGTGATACGTTGCAATTGTTGAAAATTTCTCTTAAGTCTCTTTTAATCTGTAAATTCCCCTTCCCTCTCTACCATTTTTTTCCTTGCAATTTGTCTGTTGAAAAAACTGGGTTGTTTGTCTTGTAGAGGCCCCACATTCTGGATGTTGCTGATTAAAGCAGAGACCTTTTCCTGTCCTCCTTAACACTTGTCCCTCTGAGCAATTCCTCTGATCCCAGCTCAGTGGCCCCTCAGTGAGTGGAGCAGGAGTCCCCTTTTACCAAGAAGGTCTTCTCCAGATGCAGGCACCAGCTCGGTCTGTTGCTTTCCTGCTCTGGGCTGTCCGGGCTCTGCCCAATAGAGAGCTTCAGTGAGTCGGGCTGCAGATTTGTTGTCCTCTGGTTCTCTCCTGGGGCCGGGAACAAAGGAGCTGCTGCCTTATCTGCCTTTCTCTGTGGGTGTATGTGGTGAACTGTGACTCAGAGCACCCCCCAGAGAGGGCTGCGGGAATGGAAGCTGGCAAGACCACCCAGTCGGTCTGCATTAGGAACTTCTGAGGACCAATCAGGGTGGTCTCAGGTCCACTTTGGGAGTCGCCAAACCATCTGACTAGAGGTGTTGAGTAGGACCCACATCTGCTGAGTTAGGGCAGAGGGCCTGGTGGATCTGGCAGTGTAGTGGGGTCTTAGAATTCAAGAAGTGCCTTAGGCCTCTGGAAAAGTTGGTCCTCTGCTAAGCCAGAGGGAAGAAACACTCACAGTCCTAGTGGTAGGACTAATCTTTGGGAAAGTAGGGTCAGGTCTATCTCTGATTAATAAGATGAGAAGCAAAGTTCCCTTGGGCGTCAGTATCAAGACCTAATGAGGCCTGGGGTGTCACAAGTATCCTAGGAAAGTTGGCAGAGAGAATAGTTGGGAGAGGAGGTGATTCTGACCCATGTCCTAGGAAAGCCAGATAGCTCTGATTGGAGAGCCACGGGCCTGCCACACCTGCGTGAACTGTTTTTTTGGTGTTCTTTCCTAGACTTGCCAGGTGTGCCAGATGCTGCTGCCCAACCAGTGCAGTTTCTGTGCCCACCAGAGAATCCACGCACACAAGTCCCCCTACTGCTGTCCGGAGTGTGGAGCCCTCTGTCGCTCTGCCTATTTCCAGACCCACGTAAAGGAGAATTGCCTGCACTATGCCCGCAAGGTGGGCTACAGGTGGGTGCTGCCTGGCTTGCTCTCCTGGGGTTGCCTAGTGGCTGGTCCTTTTTCTGGACCAGAACTCATTGAAGACTGAGTTTTGGTCTTAACAGGCTTGAGCTCTAGCCTAATAAGACAAGAATGTTGACTGGTATGTAGACAGACATTTTTATTTTGTAGAGAACAAGAAGAGGAAGGAGGAAAAGAATAAGATGTTAAAAAAGTTAAACATTAAAAAAATAGCTTTGAAGGGGAAGGTTTGGGGGAGATTAGAATACATATAACATTCACTTTGTCAGTTTGGTTTTTAAAAGTATGTAAATTTAATTTGCTCACAAAGTTATTGTGTTTGGCATATTAAAGTACTATTTCAATAATAAATTTACTAATTGCAGTACTTTCAAATATTCTCAACTTTCAGTAACAGGGAGCTGCAAGATGCCTAACTCAAAGGGCTCTAGGATCTTTGCATTGATTAGTTTTTGTCAGTTTATTAGAAGCAAGCAAAACCTAAGAATGGAAAAAATGATCAGCCTCATAGTAAAACCAAGAAAACTCTATTTTAGACTGAATCTTCTCCATTGTATCAAACCATATATAAGCAAGAAGTCATTTTCAGGAAAAAGATCAAAAGGGGGAGAACACTCCCTCCAAAACTCATTGATCTGTAACTTTTACATTGACCCAATTAGATCTCCTTTACTGATTTACTACAGTTGGGAGTTTCTACATCTTCTGATGTTTTACTTTATCATTTCACTTTGGGAAATTAATTTTGCCCAAATTTAGTAAGGTTTTCTTCTCTTTGATATTTTAAAAAATTTACTGATTTAGTTCACTTAATAAACTTTTTTTGAGTACTTATTATTGTCTTTAGCATTCTGCCAGGCACTCAGGATACAAAGATGATTAAGACACAGCTCCTGCCCTCCAGGGGGCTTCAGTCTGATAGGTTACAAACATATGTACGCAAGTAATTATAACTCAGAGGGGTAGGTCCTTTGGTAGAAGAATGACCAGGAAAGCTTCACAGAATAGGTCTTGAGAGGTTTTCCGGCAGAAGAAAGGGGAAGAGCACATCTGGCAAGAGTATAGGCAGGGGTCCCAGCACACGCAAAAGGGGTTACAGGTATGGTAAGCATTTCCATAGACGTGGGTCAGGGTGAACTGGGGAATGCTGACAAATGAGACTAGGAAGTTGGTAGAGGCCAGGCCATGCAAGACCTTGTGTTCCTTAGCAGACGTTTGAACTTTATCCTGTGGACAGTGAGGAGCTACAGAAACATTTGCGTCTGAGGAGTGATCCGGCTAGATCTGTGTTTTAGAAAGATCATTTTGGGAAGCTGACACATGTAGTAGAGAGGGGAGAGAGTAGAGACTGGTTGAGAGGCAAGTGTGATAGTCCAGATGAGACGCTGAAGATTTAGGAAGTAGAAGCATTAGGACTTGATGATAGCTTGTGTACAGGGGTGAGGAAGGGGGAGGGGTTAGCGATGACTCCCAGGTTTCTATCTTGGTATAAACATTTCCAAATGTAGACTGTTTTCTTTTTGCATGTTATGGAGAATGGAGAACCTAAAGTACATTAGAAGCAAAATAAACCAGAGATGGGGTTACACGAAGCCCTTGCCACCATGTTGCAGAAGAGCATTGTTTGGCAGCATCCCAGGCTACATTTTTAAACCAAACACCTGAACGTGTGTTTTTGCAGTATCCTGTAACATTTGAAAATACCTTTCAAGTGTGTGCTGCTTGTTTCAAGATCAAATCCAATCCAACAGCGATGCAATCAGCACTTAAATTTTTATCTTTGAATCTTGAGTCTGAGAAATTTTCAATAGCACATATGGATTAATAGCATATTTTTTGTTTTTTAATTAAATATTTTACTTTCTTCCCTAAGAGTAAAAAGAAGCTTAGTGTCTCAAAAGCAATTCAGTTTATCAAGCCTTTTTGTAAGAGATGTCAGACAAACAAGTATTGTGATTCAGGGCCGGCCCCGTGGCTTAGCGGTTAAGTGCGCGCGCTCCGCTGCTGGCGGCCCGGGTTTGGATCCCGGGCGTGCACCGACACACCGCTTCTCCGGCCATGCTGAGGCTGCGTCCCACATACAGCAACTAGAAGGATGTGCAGCTATGACATACAACTATCTACTGGGGCTTTGG